GAAGAAAGCCAAGAGATCAGAGCTAAGAGCCTTACCCTGCAGCTAGCCTCTTCAGCCAAGAGACCTCTCCAAAAGAGAGCTACTTCCTGTGTGTTTGTCTTTATATAGTCTTTCTGTTCTGCCTTCTCATTGGTGGTAAATCCAAACACATGACTGCCTCCTCACTGCCTTTCTGTAGAGACTTCCAGGTCTTCTATGGTTGGTATTGAGATTAAAGGTGTGTGTCTCCAATGCTGGCTGTATCCCTGAACACACAGAGATCTGCCTAGCTCTGCCTACCAAGTGCTGGGATTAAAGGCATGCGCCACCACTGCCCTGCTCTACTATGGCTCTAATAGCTCTGACCCCCGGGCAACTTTATTTATTAACATACAATTAAAATCACATTTCAGTACAAATAAAATACCACCATAGTACTCAGTGGTGGAGCATTAAGAATAGGAACAGCATGGGGGAAATTCCTAGTAGCGAGTCTTGGTACTGTGATCACGTGTTTTTAAAACTTATGGGTATGATGAAGACATTTATTTTCTGGATATCTTGAAAATGGAATTTTATTTAATGAGGTAACACCACATTTTTCTTAATAAGAGAGCAGAGGGTTGGTTGGGGACGTTAATGGGATAGATTTACACATGAACTGGTACTGGTTCCTAATCTGTCTGTCTCTTTATCCTCGCCCCTAAGAAAACCACATATGCAGACCACACCATTATTTAAATGAGTAAACTAAAAAGACATACTTCTGAACATTCAGAACTGTTTGGCATCGTCTTAAGATGATTTTGATTCACTCTGTTTGAAAGCACTAAAGAAACATGAAAACATTTTGAAAAGAAATACCCTAGACTGAACAGACATCTTCTCTCCTTCCTTATAGCACAACCTTGACTTTTTGGTTCTTCACAATTTTTTGTACACCCTAAAGCCTGGGCCTGTACTGGTCTAATCCAGTCATGGCAGATCTGGCCACAAGAATAGAAGAGGCTTAGGACCCAATTCTAGATGATGAGATGCTAGGAAGACCTCCCAGGAAGGACTCTTGTGATGGATTTCTATGTTCTTAAAACAAGACATGAGGAAAAGACAGTATGTTCTTCTGCTCTGGATGTTGCAAGGCAAGAGTGTGGGGAGTGAGGCCCGGGAGCACTGACTGGGAGTTAGCTGAGGTTAGGAAAGGGCTAGCACTGACTGGGAGTTAGCTGAGGTTAGGAAAGGACTAGCAGAAAAAGGCCAGGGAGATGGTGGGGTTTGAGTCTGGTTCTGCACCGCTGTGGAACTTGGTAGTGTGTGAGCCAATCCGTCTCCTTATCTTCTAAGTTGCCACACAGTGGGTGCTCAATTACTTGCAGCTGAAAGCATTCGGAGGGACACACTGATCCCCATCTAAACACACATGATGGATTTTCAGAATAGCCAGGATAAATCTTACAAAGAAAAGAAAATCCTAAAAAGCTGCCAGCAGAGAGAAGACAGATAGCCCCCCAAAGAATGAGAATCAGACACACAGAAGACTTATGGCTTTGCCGGGAGCTGGGAACTACAGAACAGAAACTTCCAAGACTAAAGGAAGATGGCGTCAACCCAACAATGCAGCCAAAGTGAAGGCCAAATGTGAGGATGCACACTGGGACACCTCTGAATTAAAAACATTAGCCTAGGCTTGGGAGGTGCCTCAGCAGATAACATGCCTGCTGTACATACAGGCAAGAAAATCTGAGTCTGGAGCCCCGGCACCCACACAAGAACAAATGTAGTGGTGTGCATCTGTAATCCAGTGCTGTGGAGGTAGAAACAGATGTTTCCTGGGGGCTTACTAGGTAGAAAGCAAGACTAGCCTAAATGGCAAGGCCAGGTTCCATGAGAGACCCTGCCCCAAATACTTATGTGGAAAGAGGAAGACACTTAGTGTCAGCCTCTGGCTTCCATACTCATGCATGGGTAGGTGCACCCATACAAATATAGGCATATACACACACGTACACACACACACACACACACACACACACACACACACACACACACACATGCATGTACAAAATGCTCAAACATAAACATGGCCATTAAATAATCATGCATTTTCTCCTAAAAAAGAAAGAGAATATTCTAGTAAAGCAAGACAAAGAAAACCACCCAAGGGAAACCAATAACCACAAATCCAGAGGAGCAGACAGAAGCCCCAGGACTGCATCTGAGCAGCAGCCTGGATATGAAGCACTTTATACTGGAGCCAAGGGCTGGAGAGCTCTGGGAGGGAGGATCCATAACAAAGATGAACCATATGCTGAAGACCCAGATGAATGGGAAGCTATGACAAAGGCGTGGCATGTAAGGACAGGGAAAGGCTGGAGGATGAAGGCTCATCATGACTTGTGTATGAAGCACCTGGCCTCAATCAGTGCAGCATCTGGGCAGGAATTGAGACCAAGAATGAAACTGGGCCTGAGCAGTGTGGACTCCCAGAGAACTAACAAGCTCGTGTTGAGTGAGGCCTACATTTTTTTCACTCTCCACACAGAATAGACAAGATATGATTTACATACCAAGAAGCCTGAGAGGTGTCATGGGTTTGAGTATAGTGGAAAACCCAGAGAGTCTAAAACCATTTCTCAGAATGTGCCAGGGATACCGGTAGTAGATCCAAAAAGAAGGCCATGTTGGCTGGGTGTGGTGGCGTGCGTCTTTTCAATCCCAACACTAGGAGCAGGTGGGTCTCTGAGTTTGAGGCCATAAAAGGGAGACCTAGAACTGAGTACACAGAAGTTAGAAATTTGTGTTCTACCCCCCTACTTCTCCCCACCCATACCACCCGCCCCCCAATGGAAAACTCCCACTAACCAAAAGAAAACAGATGAGGTAAGAGATGAGTGGTGGCCAGTGGTTAGGGGAGGGGTGACGGGCAGGCAGAGCATAGAAGCCGGCCAGGGCTGTGGCACTGTTGCTCATGATATTGGAATGGCGGATACACAACATTACACACTCACCCAAACCCACAGATGATGCAATGTCACAAGCAAACCCCCATGTAAATGATGGATTCCATGGGTTAACAGTATGTCAACACCATTGTAGTGGTGTGTCAACTCATCAACTGCTAGAAATGTCACCCATGGGGATGTTGACAGTGCAGAGGATGTGGAAGTGTGGGGAAGGGGACACATGGGAGAGCTCTGTGCCACCTACTCAAGTCTTCCTAAACAGAACTGTGTGCAACAAGCAAGCCAAAAGCATAGGCTGAGAGACAGTGTTTGCCATGGATAGCAGATCAAGGGTTAATGTGCAGAACATGGAAAAAGGTGCTTCACACCAGCAAGAGTAGAAAGAGCTCAAACTTAACCCCCAGGTGGCTGAGGAAGGAGAGCGCTGAGGTTGAAGGCAGCCTGCATTTCAAAGCAAGACCTCAAAACAAACAGGAAAGAAGGAGAAAGAAGAAGAAATCGCCTACCAGAAGTGGATGAAGGTTAGAGGCAGGCAACCTACCAAAGAAGTAGGGAATCTCCTAAAGAATCTCAGGTGCATGAAAACGTGTTCAAGCACACTCGATATCAAAATGTGACCCTGAGCAACCCTTCAGAACGGCAAAGATTGAAGTGGGTAGCCGGGGCTTGAAGACTGGCGGGAAAGCGTGGTAGTCAGGGAGAGCTCGTAGGAAAGGGTGAGGAGGAGGCAGATGCTATAGCCCCGGTTGAAGAGTGCTGGCTGTGGAGAGACAAAGACAGGCCTGTGGTTGAGACTTCCCAGCAAGGAAGACGGGCGAATGCCAATGAGGAAGTTCAAGGCAGCTGGACCTGTCATGAGCCTAGCATGACAGCTGGTAATGGTCTGGTCTTGGTCACGGTTGGGAGGATTTATCAACCTAAACAACAACCAGAGACTTTGCAGAGAAAAGCGAATCTGTTCAGGACTGAGCAAGGGGCTATAATCTGAGAGATGCACGCCATGACTGATCACACCCCAGGGGGTCGAGGAAAGTAGAAACTTAAAGGGGAAAAGAGAAGTCCATGGGAGCTGTTTGGAAATGAAGATCAATGGCGCAGAAGAGTATTGCTGATTGGGGGTCATACCCATTGCTAGTTACAGCCCAGCAACTCAGTGTGGCCAGGGAGATGTCTTCATAGGAATATCCCTGGCTTCAGGGTCATGAAGGTTATGGTCCAGACTGGCTGTGACTAGACAGATGCCCTCACAGGCATGGTCTTGATTGCGAGGTTATACTCAGCCGTCTTTTCCAGCAGTTCTTCTCATCGGCAAAATATGCATGAGATTCCCCACTTCATGGCCTCCCAGACGCAAGTGACTCCATTTTAACACCGGCAACTTTCACAGATTACATCCATCCACCAGAGGGATGGATGATGGGGTTGCTTAGGACAACGGGGCCCAGCCCTTCCGAGCAGCCTTCTTTGCTGTTTGGTCTTCCTGTCTTTTCTCTCTCCCTGCATGGCCCTCACCACTCCCTGCCCTCCATCCCCAACAGAAAATTTCACCCTAGCTGTCTCCTAGTTCTCTGAGTCCCTGCCTCAACCCCATCTCCGCTGGAGCATCAAAGCCTGAACAAAAGAGATGAGAAAGGAACTCCAACATCCGTCCTTCCCACGCATGTTGTACTGTTTAGGAATTTCTAAATAATCAGCCAGTATCAACTCACCAGGAAAACAAAATAGTTTGGGGCATGATGGTATCTGTTGCAATCCCAACCTTCAGAAGGCTGAGGCAGGAGGACTATGAATTTGAGGCTAGCCTAGGCTACCTAGCAAGATCCTGTTTAAAAAAAAAAAAAAAACAAAGAAAGAGCTGGATAAAAGAAGAAAAGAAAGTTCATGAACAAATTGAGAGTAAATGCATCAATTTACAGTCCGCGATTAGTCTCAGGAGCATCGCAGAGAAAGCCCTCCAGCTCCCCTTCTTTCGTGGGCTGATTTAGCAGAAATGCAGATACTTGCACTTATTCTCAGCTCCGGAGCTACCTTGTTGCCCAGCAACGAGGAGGGAGGATTTGCTCCTTCATCTTGCTCCCACCTCTAGCTGCATCCTTGGGACTCCAGACCCACTTCTCCTCACCCCATCCCCTGTCCAGTCCTTCCAAACAGCTTTCCTCTTGGTCTAAGCATATCTTGATTGTGGGTAAATCCCTCTCTCCCTCCCTCTCTTCCTCCCCTCCTCCAATCTCTCTTTCTTTTCCTCCTTCCTTCCTTTCGGTACGTATGTATATATGTATTGTGAAATTATCTTCCTTTTGTTTTTAACCTCTTGCCTCTAACTTTTTGTGATTTCCAGCACTGTATAACCAGATGTGTGGCACAGGCCTGTGATTCTCAACACCCTGGGACCGTGGAGGCTGGAGGATCAAGAGCTAAGATCATCCTCAGCTACATATAGAGTTTGAGGCCAGCCTGGGCTACATGAAACTCTGTCTCAAGAAAGAAAAATGTGAGTTTTGCCCTATCTTCTCTCTTATGCATACATCCTATGCATGCACTCTACACTTCCGCTTTCTGCCACAGGAGGAAGCAGCATGAAGCTTCTGTAGATGTAGGCCCCTGGACTTGGACTACTCAGCTCCCAGAACTGTAGGAAATTTCTGTTCTTTATAAATTATTCAGTTTCAAGTGTTGTATTATAGCAGCATAAAATAGATCAAGATCACGGGTTCATCAAGGGCATTGGGTATGTGATAAGTCACTTCAAAGAACATGCTCTCCACATGGCTTCAGGACTGGTTGACACTGCAGAAGCTGTGTTTCTGTCTCTAGCATGGTTAGGAAGTGAGAAAGAGTGAGGCCAGCCATTGGCTTTCCCCACAGTCCTGACTGAGGAACCTACCCCCTCTCACCTCTAGGACATCGGCGCCCCTGTTATAGTCCACACCGGTGACATGCTTCCTCTCCTGACTCTTGCAAACACAAGTACATCAGTTTCATTGCTGCAAAAAAAGATGACCCGCCTCCTCCACTGTGCCCACCGGTGAGCAAATGGGAACAACAGAAGCGAGGCCTCGGCCTCCCCTCCCTTGCCACACCTTTACTGACTCTAGCTTCGTGGGAGACACTGCTTTGACTTTCCAGATGGAAAAATGCATCTCCAAAGAAGATAGGATGAGAAAAAAATGGCCACTGGACATGTACCTCAGCCCACTCCCACTGGGACCCTGTCTTCATTAGCTGTGACCCATTTGTCACCACTACTCAGTCCTTTGAATCCATGGATAATTTTGTGACAATGAGGGGTCCTCTTGTAGAAGGAGTTCAGGTCAGGCCTATTAACTTTATAACAACCATGCTTGCGGGAATGAATCAGGGTCCTATGAGAACTTCATGAATCCCTTCTGTGTGTGGACTTGATTATTTTTGCTGAGTGATGCAGAGGCCACATGCACAAGAACACCACAGAGCATGATCAGGCTGGAAGCAGTTTAGGGAAAACCAAGGATACAAGAAGATCCAGAGTAGAGAAGGGACTGACATTCACAGGCTGTGGGCAGCCACATTCCAGTTCGTTATGAGGAGTATAGTGCCGTAGAATATTATTTTAAGGTGTGTTGCTTTTGTTTATGTTGCATTTGTTTAACTCTGTGAAGCTGTGTTACTGTCCCTGTCTAAAATGCCTGGTGGTCTAATAAAGAGCTAATGGCCAATAGCAAGGCAGGAAAGAGAGATGGGGTTGCTGGCAGGCAGAGAGAATATATAGAAAGAAAAATCTGGGAGGAGAGGAAGATTTAGGAGCGAGAGAAGGAGGAGGACATCAGGGGCCAGCCACCCAGCTACACAGCCAGCCACAGAGTAAGAGTGAAAGTAAGATTACAGTAAAAGAATGGGAAAAGCCCAGAGGCAAAAGGCAGATGGGGATAATTTTAAATGAAGGAAAGCTGGCAAGAAACAAGCCAAGCTAAGGCCAGGCATTTATAAGTAAGAACAAGCCTCCATGTGTGATTTATTTGGGAGCTGGGTGGTGAGCCTCCCAAAGCAGCAACAATAGGTTAAGTATTGGCATCCAAAGCAACCAAACCTCCCGGGCTAGAGCTCTTTGAACTTGAGAGACACATCTGAAGGCTTGTCAGGTTTGAACTTTCGTGTTCTCTTCCGCTTCCCATTTAGTTTCCATAGATCTCTAAGGGAGGTCTTTAGAAAACAAACTTGGTTTTCTGTTACTGTGATAAACACAATGATGAAAAGCAACTTGGAGAGAAAAGGGTTTATTCTGTTTTACAAATCCAGGTAACAAACAGTTCATCACTGAGGGAAGTCAGGACAGGAACTCAAGGCAGGAACTTGGAGGCAGGAACTGACACAGAGACCATAGAGGAGTGCTGCTTACTGGCTTGCTCCCCGTGGCTTGATCAGTTTGCTTCTGTATACACCCTGGACCACCTGCCTGGAGATGGCACCATCCCCAGTTGGCTGGGCCTCCCCATATCAACATTAATCAGGTGAATGTCTCACAGACATGTCCACAGGCCAATCTGATGAAGACAATTACTCAATTTAGATTCCCTCTTTCCAGGTGTGTTGTGTTGAGTTGGCAAAAACTATGATAATTCACCCCTTATCAACTTTCACACACAAACATACACTATTCAGCCACAACCTTTCCTTCCTTGCTTATTCCCCAAATCCCATGTTAATATCACAATATAAAACACAGTCCAATGTTAAAAATCCCAGTTTTACATTTTTTTAACACTTTCAAAGTCCAAGTTTTCTTTAAAATCCAAAGTCTCTTAACTGTGGGATCCTACAAAACAAAAAAAAAAGTTAAATGCCTTCTTACTTCTAGAGAAAAGAACCAGGATACAGTTATGAGCCAATCAAAGCAAAACCCTCATGAAACAGTGTAAAAAGCTAGTGTCCAGTGTCTGGGACTTAATCGTAATCTTTTGGGCTCCAAGGGGCTTGGGAGTTCCACTTCTCTGTCTGCCATCCTCAACAGTAGGCAGTCCTTTCCGAGTAGAGCACCCAGGCTGGGCACGGAGGACAGTCCTTGGGTGGTCTTGGCATGTGTAGTGCCAAGGGTGGAAGCCAGCAGCTGTTCAGCCCACTTAGCATTTTTTCATGGAAGAAGAGGGAGTGGAGGACAGCAGCGATATCCCAGGCACACTGGATGCACACCTAGATTTGGGACTCAAAGGGACAAGTGCCATTTGTGTCATTCATAACTGTTTCAATTGCAAACAATGACACTCCAGTTCAAAATGCTTGTCAGTGGGAAAAAGGGGGGAGGGGAACCAGGAGGGACTTACTGGCTTGTGTAATGGGAACTTCCAGGGGAATCCTGGGCTGCAGGCATAGCTGGACCCATGGGATGGGCAGCCTGCTGCTCAATAGCTCCAGGGAAGGCTATGATTGGCCCAGCTTCAGTGGTCCCTTCTCATCCCAAGGAAGTGAGTTCTCTAATGGCCTGTTCTGAATCAAATGTCAAACCCTGCAGCTAGAGTCGGGTGAGCCCTGATGAGGGGAATGCAGAAGGAATCTGCTGAAGAAGGGGGTCGGATGAGACGTGTGAACCTTCAACACAACACCACCTACTAGCTGGGTCCCAACTAGGCTTCAAGTCTTTAAAGGTCAAGACTCTTGCTTGGGTTGAAATTCTTTCAGAGGTTGGATGTCTCTTCTCTGGAACCATTTCTCTCCCCAGCTGGAGCATCAGGCTCAGCAAGTCTGCAGGGGCATATTAAAGCATAAAAGGCACAGAAACAAAATTGAAAACAGAATTTATGGCCCTTTTTCAGACCAATATCCTAAAGCTGACCAAAACAACCAATCAGATAGAGTTCCCTAAATTGCAGAAGAAATTTAATGGGCACTTATATTAAACTACACACAGACAGGAGAGTCCAGTCATTTCTTAGCTCCCCGGGGAAGGGATGAAGAATGTCTCGAAGACTTCACTTGAGATAGAGAGATGAGACATACTTGCCAACAGCCAGCTCATCTCTTCCTTATTCCTGCTAATCTCATGGATGCTCATCTGTCATGGGGTCCTCAAGCCACCTCAGGAGGCCCGTGTTGCAGCAGAAATTTTCCGATGAAACTCAAGAACTCCTGTTCCTGAGTTTAGAGGTGTAGTTGGTAGGACACTTATCTAGGACACATACCTTATCCATGATGTCCCATTCTTGTGTGATAGGATGATGTTATTTTTTCTTTCAGCTGTATGGAATGGGAGCAGTCGTCAGAGCTGCTCACTAACCCTGCAATATATGCACATATACATGAGTGTACATGTACACACCACGCAAATCCTCTCCAAGAGTGCTGAGGGAAGACCCCAAACTGTAGACCTTTCACCCAGAAAGCTCAATGCATTCTATGGGACTGGGGATGACTTCCTACAATGGTGAGTCCCATCCTTTGCCCACCCATCCATTCTCCAATTTTCCTTGCCAACAGGACTCTGGTTGTGTCTGGATAGCAACATAGTCAGTGTGGTGGTTCATCTTTGTTATTGTCTTCCTTAGGGTTACTATTGCTACGATGAAACACCATGACCAAAACAACGTGGAGAGGAAAGGGTTCATTTGGCCTACACTTCCACATCATAGCCCATCACTAAAGGAAGTCGGGACAGGAACTTAGAAGGCTGGGAACCTGGAGGCAGGAGCTGATGCGGAGGCCACAGTGTTCTGCTTACTGGTTTGCTCCTCATGGCTTGTTCACCCTGCTTTCTTACAGAACCCAAGACCGCCAGCCCAGAGATGGTACCATCCACAATAGCCTGGGCTCTCCCCCATCAATCACTAATTAAGAAAATGTCCTACAGGCTTGCCTACAATCTGATCTTATGGAGGCATTTTCCTAATTGAGGTTCTGTCCTCTCAGATGACTTTAACTTGTGTCAAGTTGACCCAGAACTATCTAGCACACTTATCAACCTGACCAGTTTTAGAATCACCATTAAAATACATCTGAATGTATATGTCTGAGAGGGCATTTTCAGAGAGGTTCAAACAGGGAGAGAAGACATATCCTGAATGTGAGCATCAGCATGCCATGGGCTTCTCCCAGACCAAGACAAAAGGAGAAAGTATGCAGAACACAAGCATCCCCCTCCACCCCCTCTCTGCTTCCCAGTTGCAGAAGCGATGTGATCAGCTGCCTCGGGCTCTGACTTGCCAGCCTTCCTGCCATGATGGACTGGAACTCCAACTCTGAGCCCAAAAAAACTTCTCCTTCCTCAAGTTCCCTCTGTCAGGTGTTTTGACATAGCAAGAAGGAAAGTAAGTAGTAAAATTATCAGCCTCGAAAAAATCATGTGTCCCTCTACCAGCGACTGGGTTTAGAAACAAGCATGTGACCAGTTCTGGCCAATAAAATATAAGGATACATTGTGTAGAAAACTGCATTGATTTTCCTTTCGGATTGGAGGGGAGGTGTCCCTTTTATGCTGTCCCCTTTCCCTCAGTTGTGTGTGCATGCTACGATACAGAGCAGGGAACAAGGGGGGCTAACAGAGGAATACGAACAAATACAATCGTGTATATTTATGAAAATGTCATGATGAAATTAATTATTCTGTATGCTAAATACTTGAATGAAAATTTGAAAAGTGACCTGGTGGGCATTATTCCCTACGTCTCTTCTGCTGCAAACCGAGCCCATACGAGTGAGCATCCCATTCCCCATGCCCTACCCAGTAGAAATGCCTCTTCTCATGGGATGGCACTGGGCAGCAGGGAGTGAATGGGACATCCAGACAGACCCAGACGTGGGTGGCCCCTCGCTGGAACACTTCTCTGCCTGTGCCTGCCTGCCTTGCCCCTGAAATGAGAAGTCATGGTGTAATCAAGCACCTCCCAGGGAGGACTCATGGATACTGAGGCTCCATGCCTGGCCTGGAGTAAGGACTCCACAAATACAGAGTTTATCTCTCTTACCTCAAAGGTCCAGTGATTGCAGTTTTCAGATCCGATGTCTCTACCTGAGATCTGGTAAGTGGACTTTAGGGACTAGCTGACATGAGTGATTGAAAGATCAGAATGGCTCAGAAACATTGCGTTCCATCATTTCCAAGCACCAGACGAGATACACCTAGCACCCATCATAAATAAAAGATGCTATTTCCTTAAAGCCTTTTGAAAGCAGGCATCACATCACAAAAGCGTTCTGAGCGCCCAGGGAAGTCAGCCGCGACGCCTACTTGTTTCCGCTGTCTCTTAGCATTTGAAATCATCATCGTTACCGTCTGCTGCCGGGATACCTTCCGACCCCGGGCTGGGCTACAGAATCAACGTTTCTGACAAAGCTCCTCAGGTCGTCTACCGAGGGCTACATTTTGAAATGTGACTTAGGCTTTCATTATTATTATTATTATTTTGCTCTTGTAGATACATATAAATTTAGAAACCAAAAGAACACTTTCATTTATATTCTGCGACTCCTGCAGGGGAGGCAAGAAGAAGCTTTTTGATACGTGTTGCACTTGTAGGTTTAAATGTCCCTTTTTCTTTGCAGATATGATGGAATGTAACATTTACCAGCAGCCGAGGATCCCTGAAGTGCCACCAGCAGCGACATATTCTCTAGGTTGGAGATATCTGTTCAGGGGCCAGTGAGGCCAGCTCGCCATTCCTGCCCCCTCCCCTCAAGAATGAACCAATTAGAAAATTGTCAAAGCCAGTGGTCCTCCCTTCTGAGACTGTCAATCAAAACTGTTAAGGGTGTCTCTGGTGGGCCATTATGTTCTCCCAGGGTCCAGGTGTTGTTTGTCTGTCCCATGTTTCTGGGAGTCCTGAGAATTGAAACCCTGCATCATTTACCTATATGTACCCCAAATCCAGCAGATTTATATATTTATTCACGATTTATATAATGTAGTAAATGTAGTGGACAACCCTAAGTGTGATGGGTTATTTGGGATGTCTTCTTGACTGACTTGAGGAATGCCAAGGAAGCTGGGAAGCACGCTTCAGTGTGTGACAGTGAACGTTTCCAAAGAAGACTGGCATGTGGGTCATCAGACCGAGTGAAGAAGATGCCTCCTGAATATGGGTGGGTCACCATTCGGTTTGCAGGGTTGAGGAGGGGGGGTCCCCTGACAGAACAGAACAATGGAAGGAGAGAGCTTCTCTGCTTGTGCCTCTCTTCACAGCCCTTTCCTTCCTTCCTTCCTTCCTTCCTTCCTTCCTTCCTTCCTTCCTTCCTTCCTTCCTTCCTCCCTCCCTCCCTCCCTCCCTCCCTCCTTCTGGCCCTTCCTTCCAGACCAGGCATGTTTCTCATGTTGCAGCCCTTGAATATCAGCGTCCAGGGTCTCTGGCCCTTGGACTTGCTCTTGGGTCTTTGGCCTTACACTGGGACCACATCATTGGTCTGTGCGGTTCTGAGGTTTGCTACTTCTGGCACCGGGCTCCACCCCACAGCCCTCAGAAGATGGCTTTCCATGGACCTCAGCATTTATCAGGTGACAAAAATCTAATCCCTGCCCTCACGGTACACATGTATCTGCTCTTGGTTTTGTTTCTCTGGAGAACCTGAGTCACACTGACGACTCCCTATAATCTTTTCTTAAATATTCTCGATGTGTTTTACACAGCCTCTACTCTGTGAGTGCTACCCTCCAAGTGACTGCCTTTCCCAGCAGGCTGGTGGATTCCCATCAGACACTGCATGGAGTTTGTGGTAGACGACTAGGTAGGATCTAAGAATGTCGGGCCAGGCAAGGCAAATATCTGCACAGAGAATGTCTGAGCCTCTGCAATAACATGGTTCTGGAGCCTCAACCTACTGAGTCATATATGTGTGTGTGTGTGTGTGTGTGTGTGTGTGTGTGTGTGTGTGTATGCTAGATTTATTTATTTTATGCTATGCGTATGGGTATTATGCCTGAATGTGCACCATGTGCATGCCTCGTGCCTGCAGAGGTCAGAAGAGGGTGTGGAAGCCCCTGAAACTGGAGTTGTAGATGGTTGTGAGCCACCTTGTGGGTGCTGGGAACCCAACCTGGGTCCTCAGCAAGAGCAACAAGGGTTCTTAATGGCTGTACCATGTCTCCAGCCCCCATGTCTTTTTCTCTTCTTTTCTTAAAAGATTTGTTTTATTTTGTGTGTGTATTTGACTTCATGTATGTAAGTGTACTGTGTGTGTGCCTGGTACTGGAGGAATCCAGAAGAGGGTGCCAGATCCCCTGGAACTGGAGTCATGGATGGTTATGAGTCACAATGTGGGTGCTGGGAACCAAACCTGGGTTCTCTGCAAGAGCAGCAGGTACTGATAAACACTGAGCCATCTCTTTTAATATCCTTTGTAGGACTATAGTATCTAGATTTTGTAGATTTCATTAGTTCATCTTCTTCTTCCCAAACCAAATCCAATAGATTCCGGCAAGCTCTAACCAGGCCCTTAGCTGGTATCCATGGTCCAAAAAATGACTTCTGCATGAACAGGTCTAGGTTTGTAGAACTCAAAAATTCATATAACCGAAAGGTTCCCTTAAGAAGAAGAATATGAAATTATTCTATTAGCTTTCCTGGAACTGCAATACTAATAGATGCCTGAAATTATCAGGTTTCAAAAGAGAAAATCGGGGTGGAGAGACGGCTTAGCAGGTAAGAGCACTTGCCATGGAGACCTGACAACATGAGTTCGAGGCCTCAGTGATTGTCACTGAGCCCACTTGGAAGTGTTTCTCCTCCAAGGGAGCCTTTGGATTCCGCCCCAGCCCCAGCCAGCACCTAGTGTAGCCTTGGGAGCCAGAGACCCAGAGTCAGAAGTCATTTAAAAACACACCCGGGTTTCCAGCCTGGAGAAGCTGTGGGATAATACACGCTTTTTAATTTTTTAAAAAGCATTATGGTAATCTGTGGCCTGAGCTCTGTCTTGTTAAGTTTCAAGGTTTCCCTTTGGATTCTAGGGGTTAAATTTGTGCCTCCCTTAGCAGGGCCCGAGAACATATGAGAACGTCATCTTTTTGGAGAGAGTGCTTTTGCATAAGAGATCATCTCCTTTTTAAAGTATTCTCAAGGGTTTAAAAGTACACTCTGAGCTCATTGGGGATGAGGAACCCATGCACAAGGAAATGTCATTTGCCGACACTCTCTTTCTCCATGCCCTTAAGGAACTTGGTGTAAGGGAGAGGGTAGCCTTTGCTTTATGTGCCAATGACTCTGTCTTCCAACCCCACCCCCAAGGCCTTTAAGGGACTAAGGAAGGTCTAGACTGACCTCAGAAGGTACCACAGGAAGACACCTTCTTCTCACCTATCATATGGGACCGTGGTATGACCAACTACTGGACAAACCAGATCTAGTTGGAGTAATTTTTGCATTTCAAGTTCACAAATGTATCCAAGAGTGGCAGTGGGGGGTGGTGGTGGTGGTGGACGGTTTCACTAAGTATGTCAAAGTTCAAGTTCATCTTTGGTGGAGAAGAGTTCTGCAGTTACTGACCTGCTAGTGATGTCTTTCTCATCTCAGGGATGAGAACTTGGAGAGGATTTTGCATTTACTGTCCAACAATATCTTATAAAATCATTTACCCTTCAGCATTGTTTTAATATCATAAGTTCTCTAGAGATCATGTAAAATACATGGAAGGGTATTATTTTAGGTTATATGTGAATATTAGATCATTTTGTAAGGTCCTGGAAGACTCTCTCTATATCTATCTATATCTATCTATATCTATAGATATATAGATATAGATAGATATAGATACAGAGATATAGATACAGAGATATAGATACAGAGATATAGCTATAGATATCCACATGCACGCACACACACACACACAGTCTCCTAAAGCCCCACAGATATTTATGAATGTGGAGGTCAAAAACCATGATATTCCATATATCTGGTGTGTGTGTATGGATGCATGCCACAGCGTGAATATGGAGGTAAGAGGACAACCTTTGAAACTGCGAGAACCTAAGTTATGTTTTAAGTTTTAATTATTGTCCCTAAGACATCCATAAAACAAAAGTGTCTTTAACCTATAAGCCCCTTGTGCAAGGATAGCTACTTCCTGAAATACTGGAGGCTTTTGTTTATAGAAGATAACAAGCCACATGTTTTCACTCCCCTAGTCAAGTTTGTTTGACCCATCTGCACCAGATGTGCTTGATCACGTGTGGGCGGGAGGTTCATCGGCAGGAAATACGTCAGGATGTTTGCTTGCCCCCGATTGGACCTGGTGGGAAATGCATAGCCTTGTAGGTTTTCCTTTATAAGTCTCTGCAAAATGTGTCTCGTGGCCATTTTCTGGGAACCCTGGAATGGTCCTGGCCAGAATCCATCATCCTGGCCAGGATTTAATTAAAGCTTGCTTCAAATTTTGACTCAAAATTGTGGTAGTGGTCTTATTCTCAAGCAGTGGGTTTAACAGTTCTTGAACCTGGGACAATGGTTGAGATGTCCATCAACATATCAAAGCTGACACTGGCTGCCAGGTTCCCCCAGCATCCTTCAGTCTTTACCTGTTACAGGGCCCTCCTGGCTGGCATACCCCGCACCCTACCCTGAACTCTCCAGCCCAGGTATTGGGCTGGGCTTCCCTCCCCGCGGCTCCTCTGGCCCCTATGAAACTCAGCCATTTTGGCTCTGCCTGGCTTGGCCCAGGCTCCCTCTCTTAGTTGGCAGCTCCTCTCCCCTCTTCCCTCCCCGCTCTCCTCACATGAGCGAGCTCAGGGTCGTGTTCACTCTGGACTCTTCCGGATGTCTCTGTCTCTGTCTCTGCCTATGCTCTCTCTTTTACCTAGAATTAACTTTCTCCTCCACCATACCTAGGAGCAGTTATGTCCTTTCCTTTCTATTTCTTTTTTCAGTCAGAAGTCAGTTCTCTTTTTCTACCCTGTGTGCCCTGGTGGAGAACTCAGGTTGTCAGGTTTGGCAAACAAGGGCCTTCACCTACTGAGCCATCTGGCCTCACCCAAAGCCGCTACTTTTGACAATAGGAATGTGACTCCAAGCTGCCTAGCGGGCAAGGAAGGCAAGGAAATGGTCTCCCTCCTAGAGCCTGAGGGAGTGGCCCTCCTAATGCCTGACCACTCCACCAAAATGCTTTGAAATTTCGGATCCCCCAAACTGCAGGAGAATCTATGTGCATTATTTTCAGCCACCAAGATCGTGATAGTTTGTGGATGGGGGCTTCCTGACGTTTCTGGGTAGCTGAGGAGGAGCCAGCAATGCAGATGTGAGGAGATCTGGCAGAGTTGGCTGGGGCATCAGGCTCTGCTGGGGCATCAGGCTCAGATCTGAGGGAGTGTGCTGGGGCATCAGGCTCAGATCTGGGGGAGTGTGCTGGGGCATCAGGCTCAGATCTGGGGGAGTGTGCTGGGGCATCAGGCTCAGATCTGGGGCATCAGGCTCGGCTGGGGCATCAGGCTCAGATCTGGGGGAGTGTGCTGGGGCATCAGGCTTAGATCCGGGGCAGTGTGCTGGGGCATCAGGCTTAGAATACTACCCATCTGTAGTCTTGCTTGGTAAACATGGTGGTCAGCCCTCCCTGCTTAGATACCAGTCCCTAGGCCAACCATGAAGCCTGCCTGGTGCCTCAGGCCACACCAGTGGCCTCAGGCACCTTTGCAAGCTCCCCACTGAGCTCCCACAAACCCAGAATTTCAGTTGTTGATCACCTACTTCTAGCCCAGCCACTTTGGTCTCAGAAAAGTGGATCCCTGCTCTACCATCCTGTAGCCGAGTCTCACTCTGTCCAACAAAGTCTATATCCATGACAACTTTTTTCATGTGAGGGTAGCTCCCTTAAGTCCCCCAATAAACTGTCCTTTTACTGTGGTTAATAATTCTATATTAATTCCACCACCACCCCGCCCTGTGAGGTCTGTCTCCTGATT